TGGTGTCCCCTCGCTTGCCACTGTCCTCCTGCGGCAGGGCCAGCATGGCCACAGCATGCAGCCCAGCATCCCTGCACTGGAATTGGGGAGGGGGGGGAAGCACAAGGATGCCGGGGGGTACGCAGCATTGGGGGTCCTGAACTCACAGGACATTTTGTGCCATCCAAGGGACCGCACAGAGCCAGCAGCTGGGGCACAAGTGGCATTTTGGAGGTGCCATGGGGACAGGACAGCTCAGCTCAGCCCGTGGGGGTCAGGCAGAGCAAAGAGAAGACTCTGGTGCAGCACAGGCAGTTGGAGGGTGGATGGGGAGGGAGAGGAGATACCTGCATCCCTTTCTTGCGGGGGCACTTCTCAAGTCACACCCCGGGAGCACGGGGGCATCCCTGTGACATCCCTCAGCAGGGGAAGGTGCTTAGCAGGAGCCCATCTGAGGAGGAGAGGGCAGGAGCCTGCAGCGGCAAGAGTCAAGAGCTTGAGGATGAGGCTGTGGAGATGGGGCGAGGAGGAAGAGGAGGGTGTCTGGATGTGAAGATCCATGGGATGTGTGTCCCTGCACTGCCCTGCTTCTCCCTGACACACAGTCCTTCCCAGGGGAGGCACAAGGACATTCTCTGCTCTCTGTGCCTGCTGCAGCTTCTCCCACCACCCATGGGCACTTCAGTAAGGCCAGAACAGGGACCAGCTTGTTTCCCCTGTGCTGACACGGTCACCTGCAGCCAGACATGATGCTGGTAGTTCCCAGCAGGAGCTCCAGCAGGTCCCCAAACCACCCTGCTTTCCCCTCTGCCCACCTAGGGATGGGGTGGATGCTCTGCAGACCAGGGCTGAGCGGGGGCTCCCAGCCCCAGCACACCCAGGTAGCACCCAGCAGCACGCACCCACCCACACCACAGCATCCCAGATCACACCCAACTGCTCTCCCACACCAGGCCAGGCCCGGAGGGCATCACCGGGTGCCACGTCGTGCCAGGGGACCGGCTGCCGGCTCCCTCCTCCCTCCCCAGGCAGCCGCTGGGGCTGTCAGCTTTATTTAGAGCTTCGCACAAACACACACCAAAGATATCTGAAGTGACTTGGCACCATCAATCCATGCACGGCGTCAGCCTGCGTGCGTTCCCGTCCCCGCCAGCCTCCCCCTCGGCCCCAGCTACGCCCATGTGTTGCATCCAGCCTTAATTTAGCTCACTTTGCTGCTGGGAGCCGGGACCGGCCTCCCCAGGCATCCGCACTGCATCTCCCTCCGGGAGCACCCCCAGCAGCTGGAGGCAGCACTCACGGACTGTGGCCAGCGTTACTCCTACTGTAAAATAATTTGTGGCCAGCGCTGCTCCCAGGGAGCCCGCTGCAGCCGTTGTTTTTATTTCCCCTTCGCACAGCTGGCGAGGACGTAAGCAAGCGGCAGGGACCCAGAAGAGCTGTTGGGTTTGGCCTTTGGCACACGCAGCAGCGTGCGCGTGGAAATAAAATATGAGTTTGCATAGGAATGGGACGTGGGATTAGAGGTGGTTTGTGGAAACCTCGCAACCACACTGCCACGGGCACTGCATCCCACCCATCTCATCCCAGTCTGGGAACAGGGATCCTCAGGGTAAACGGGTACCCAGCAAGAGGGAAGGCATTGGGGACACGCCGTAGCCATTCACAGCCGCTTTCCTGGTTATTTTTAAATGGCAGCACGGTTCCTGGAGGCCTGGCTGACTTCAGCCTGTCTGGGCTGTTCTCCCGCTCGGCGTTGAAGGTTCAGACAACCTGTTTCAAGGCGATTACAAAGCAGAGACAGCCCGTACGCAAGCAGCAGCCGCTGCAGAGCGCTCGGGAAGGAAAGTTAGAGCTTAAAAAAAGCTCCGCGAGAGAAGGTACCGCGGCAGAGCAGATGGTGCAGCGTGAGCTTCCCGGGAAGAGCTGCTATTGCTCCCCATTAGGAAGCATATGGGCAGGCTCAGCTGCCTCTCCTCCTGCCCACGGCCCTTCCACTCGGCATCGCGGGGGCCCTCCTCTCGAACACCAGGGGTTTGGGGGGACCCACCCCGGGATGGCAACCCCTGCCCCACAGGCTGGCAACGAACCTGGGGGAGAGGAGCCCGATGCCCGAGACGGAACGAGCGCGCAGCGTTTCGGGGAGGCGCAACGCCATCATTAGTAGCTTCCTTCTGCACCAAACACCCACGGCGAGCAGGAGGCTGCTGTGCCGTTTGGCAGGGCGGGCAGAGCTGCCGGGCTCCCCGTGCTGCCAGCGGGCAGCGCTTGCTTTTGGAGCATCCTCAGGCTTCAGCTCAAAACCACTTTGCTCCCACAAGGGATGTTTTTGGAGCCCGGGTCTCCCGAGGGAGCCTCGCAGCAGCCAGCACGGGGGCCGGGGCAGCATTTCGGGAGAGCTTTTCAAGAATAGGTTGATTTTCACAGCTTTGAGGCACAACGAGGAACTCGCATCCCGCTGCCGGCATCGTTTCAGGGAAGGCACGTGCTCCAGCCAGTCTGAGCCAGGCTCACCCGCCCCCACAGATTTAGGTGCTGGAGGGATGCTCTGGTCCCCTTCCTGGGGACAAAGGCTCCAGCCAGAGCTGTCACTGTTCCCAGCTGGGAGCCAGTGGGCTTCTGCACGTCACTTTTTAAACTGGGCAGCTCTGCGTGGGCAGCAGGACCGGCTGCACAAGTGGCTTCTTCCCCAGGAGGAGCGGGGATCTTTCCCCACACGGGGACCCCCAACCAGGGCAGCAGCACCCCATGTCTGGGAGGGGTCCCCCAAAAGACCCTCTTGTCTGAGCCCAGCAGCATCCAACGGGGGCAATTACAGCCTCACCAGGGCGATCCCAGCTGAAAGTCTTGCAGCACTGGTTTTGCCCAGACTGTTCTTTCATCCCCTAATTGGCAGCCTGTCTGATCCCCTCCCAGCACCGATAGCCCACGGGGGCGGCGGTGGCTCTCTCTGCTGAAGGGGGATCCACAGGCGATGGAGATGGGGGAGTTTTCAGTTCCTGCCCTGTGGTGCCCAACCTGAGCCTATTAATGAGCCATGTTTCACTAACGATGGAGGTGATTGCCATTCTTTCCCTGCCCTGGACTTTTCCCCTCAGGATCTCTGCTCCCCAGCCCCGGACCAGCATGGTACAGTGCAGTGGGAAGGTTACCTATCTCCTGACCAACTGGCCACATAGCACCAGGACACCGCGTCTGTCCCAGAGGGCTTTTCGTCTCAGCGCAGCCTCAAAACCCAAACCAGCAAGGAAAGCTTAGAGATAAACATAGGAAAAAACACCAATACTTTGGACATCAGCCTAGAAAACACCCTAAAACCAGCATCCAGCAGTGCTGTTTTGGGGCCACGGGTGCAGAACCATGCCCAAGCATCAGCAAGAACCCATGGGAGCCCTCCATGATAAACCCAAATAACACACCGCACACCCCCGCCAAGGCACTCAGGGTTGCAGAGACCCGTTGCCCTGAGGAAGCTGAGAGCCGCTTGGTTGTATCCTGGCCCAGGACCTGCCCCAGCCCTAAACACAACCCAGCCCAGTCCCAGCACCCCGAGAAATGCTGCTTTCATGGTTCACCACAACAAAATGAGGTGTGCAACCACATCAGAGAGCCGAGCCCTACCCCAGTGCCCACACAAGGTCTGCTCCAGTGCCCGCAAGCCAGCACGCCATCCCTGCACTGGAGAACAACACGTGCATGGGGATGGGCACGCTCACCTCATCTCTCCTCCAGCTCCAAAGCCAAATTTCAAGACCCCTCCAGCCCACAAGCCAAGCGGACACGTCCTGCAGTCCTCCTGCTTTTCCCCACCACCCTTCAGGCTTCCAAGTCAGCACCCTCACAGGGTTTTTACCCATGAGGAAAAAAAAAAAAAAAAAAAAAACAACACACAAATGTCTTCTAAAGTAGGTAGCACCAATTACACTGCTGATATTTAGGGCTTCCAGCACAACAAATGGAGCTTCAGCTTCATTAGGTACCATGCCAATTTAATCCAAGACATCCAGTACAGAAGGAGCTTAAATTAGTTTATCTGATGCTAATTTATAACAAGCAATATGTTAACACAGGGATGGAATGAAGTGACCTGCAGCCTGTTTGCAAGGAGCAGCACACAGGGGTGGCCGAGCCAGACCGTGACCCAGGGAAGGGGCAAAGGCACCCACTGCGGGAGCACCCCAGCTCTGCAAATCCTAATTTAAGAAAGAGGGATGTGTATCGTACCTGTCTGCTCATGGCATGCTCCCGCTGCAGCATCCACCACCAGGAACACCTCACAGCTGGAGATGGGGGCACCCAGCCACCCCTTTATGTGGGAGAGACCCTGGGGGGGAGTAAT